GTGGCTGGCCTGCTGCAGCTGGCACAACATGCTGGGCACACTACTGCCGTGTGTTGTAGCTGTAAATCGCTACAACAGCACATAATCACCAACTACGGTCGTTGTCGTGCCACATAGCTGACACACGGCAAGACGAAGCCAACACTGATACCCAGCAACAGTCGCAGTAGTTGCCGAAACACCGCCCCCAGTAAATGCGCAGCAGAAGGTGCGACCCTACATAGATGTACTTCAACAGACCCGAGTTTAGCAGAAACTGCAACAGGTACAGATGGGGTTCCCGCCCGGAGACCAGCCCTCACGACAAGGCACAGGCCGGCCTACTCAGACTACCGTAGTCAGTACTTCTTCTCATCCGAGTTTCTGCTGACAGCACGCTCGCTCGCCCGGCTGTGAACCGCTCGGTCCTGCTCTCCCTCTTTTCCTGAGCACACGGGCACTCTACATTCGTGCACACTCGTTCCGCTACGTGCTTACATCCTCCCGTGCACCAACATCCTCCTACTCTCGTCCCTGCCTTCGATGGTCATACATGCTCAGCACTGCAGTCGCCCGGTAAGTCTCCAATCCGCTCGGTCGCTTAATGAGCTAGTACCCACTATCTCGCCGCCTGCTTAACTTCTCGGCCCGTGCTTCCTGGCAGGTAGGATACATAGCTCCCCCATTTCCCCCGCACGGATCTGGCTGTCCTCACTTCCTGGTGGTCACGGATGCGCTGACCAGGTAGATCGCCACTCGCTCCCCTTCACCCTGAATTCACCATGCGAGCCTGCTTCTCGCCTTTCTCCTCTCGGTCACTCTCGCGCACCCCCTTTCCCTTCTGACCCTCGTTCTACTGATCTAACATTCAAACTGACCCCGCCATCCGATTCGGGGTGATAAAAAACCCCTATCCTGCACTTTTGTTTGCTCGCTTTCACAAGGGACCGATTGACATCTTGATTCCTACTCCCGACATAGCCTCTCTTCCAACATCACTGCGCACTCGTTTTCTCTACTGACTCTCATTCTACTAATTCTCTACTCAATCTAACACTATATCCAGGTTCGCTTGACATAAAAACCCCCGAACTGAGTCTTAGCTCGTCCGTTCCTATTAAGAAACGTGCGAGCTGAACAACCTTCCCTCTCACCGTAATCACGATCCCGTTGCCTTAGCGCACGACTTTCCTTACTAACCTACTCATACACTAACACTCACACTTAACTGAGTACGAATTCGGGGTCGCCTACCCTACGAAAATCGGATCCGAGTCCTCCCCCGCCCAATCCCGTTGGGAAACGAGGGAGGTGGGTGTTTTTCCTATTCTCCTTCCTCTTTGCTCCACCATAGCTCACGGACCCTCTACCTCACCTACCCTTCATTCTACTGTTTTAACGCCAATTCTAACTCCACCATGTAACTCGCCCGGGGCCAAACCCTCGGGATCGCCTCTTCTCTTGCCCGAAACTGACAAGAAACGGGCGAGTTATGAACTCACCCTGCCGCCTCACCGATCTCCTGCCATCGTCTTTTCCGAATGCACCTGGCGCAAATTTGCGCCTACATTCACTTTCACTCCCCTGTCTTCCTATTGTCCCTATCTGCGCCCGTTTCCCCGCTCGTCAGCCTCGCTTTGTCGATCTCCCTTTTTCTTCGCCTCTCCCTCATGCATCGGACGCTAAACCCCGACCTGGTTCATCTCCCCCCCCCGGTACTTTGCTCCGCTTGCCATATCCGCCTTCGACCCCCTCCGCACAGTCCATTTCGCCACTAACTCTAATTCTACTGATCAACTATCACAACTAACACCACCGCTGTGGTCGCCCGGGGCTAAAACCCCAACTTACTTCTTTACCTCGCTCAATTTCATTGAGAATCGAGAAATACCTCCCTTTTCGTTTCTCCCACTCACCTACTCTCCATATCCGACGCATTCCTTTTCTTACTAATTTCCAAAACTACTACCCTATTCGTAAAACTAACAACTCTATCTGATTAGCCCTACTGCAAAACGTTGGAATAGACCTTTCTCCCACCCGTTTTCATCAAGAAACGGGTGGGATCGATACTTTCCCCCCTCCCTCCTTCGCATGTACCTAACGCGGGAACCCATCCGGGTCCATTCGAATCCCCCTCTCGTCTTTCTCCCGACTCCGCCCGCTGCTTGCTGCGCTCCGCTCGCTTTCTCCTGTCTCCGTCCGGCAATGCCCCCGTAATCATCTAGTCGTCGGCCTACTTGTCGCAGTGCCCTGCCCGTAATAACTTCGCCCGTTGCTGCTTGTTGCCTGTCTTCGCTCACCCCCCCCCCCTGGCTCGGCATCCTACGGCCACTCCGGCCCGCTCCCACTTCCTCCGAATGCACCCAACACCTTTTCTCGTCCCAGTTCAACCGCCCCCTCTAACCTTTACCTTGACTATACCCGACCCGACAGCGCCCCACAGCGGCCCGCCCATCAGCCCTCTCCGTTCTCGCATGAACCTGGCGAGGCCCCCGCTCAGGTTCGGCCCTTCGGCTCTATACCCCAGTCCCACAGAGGGAACTTTGCAGGGGCCAGCTACCAGACGACTCGATTAGTCTTTCGCCCCTCTACCCCAGTCCGCCCTCTCGGGTCCCCAACGGGCAACCCACCCACAGGCCATCCCGCAGTTGGGGGCGCGAGCCTACTGCAGGTCCGCGGCACACTGCGGTACCGCTGTGGGCCTGGCCATAGTGCCCCGGACATAGCCTGCCGGCTCACGGGCTTTGGCGGGCACACTCACACTCAAACCTCCCACAACAAACCGTGGACGGTGGTGCCCCCGCAGAAATACCCACGCCATTTCGGTCTTTCTTCCACCTCGTGGGCTAATCACCCACCGATCCCCATGCACATCGGGCCCAGCTCATGCTGTCAATGACGTCATGATAGAGGAATCTCGCCAGCATCCCAACCCACGGACCCGTCCACTGGGGCCCGTACTCAAGGTCCCCGACTATCGCGACGCACATTAAGTCCAGCGTCGCGTCCGAGTCAACGGCACGCCGGAGCAAAAATTAATACACAATTATTTGATATAACATACAGACAAACATCGTGCGTCCCGCTGGCTCGCAACGCCGCGCACGCCTAGGCAGCGCACAGTTGCCCCTCACCGTCGATACCCCACGCCACCACGCGCGCCTCTCACCCTGACGAGAACCTATGCTTTCGCTCACACGCACGCCGTCAGGCGGGCGACGCCGCACTTGCACGACTTGCAAAAAAAACACGCCAAATACCCTTGTAAGGGTATTTGGTACGACACCGCGATCTTCGAGTATCCCTTGATGAAGCGTTGATAGTAGCCAGCTAAGCCAAGGAAGGGACGAACATTTGTGACGTTCTTCGGCTCCGACCACTCTTGGATGGCTTGAATCTTGTCCGACAACGGACTGATGCCCTCCGGTCTCCAACACTCGTCGAAGGTGCTCAAGATGATCCTCCAATGTCCGGCTATAGACGAGAATGTCGTCTAAGTAGACGAGTACGAACCGGTCCAACATCGCACGAAACTCGTTGGTCATTGCCGCTTGAAAGGTCGTCGGGGCATTGGTGAGGCCAAAAGGTATAACGATCCACTCAAAGTGCCCGTACCATGTCTTGAACGCGGATTTGTAGCAATCTTGCGAGCGTATCGAGATTTGATGGTAGCTTGACTTCAAGTCCAACTTCGAGAAGAACTTCGCGCCGCCCAAAGGCTCGAGAAGGTCGTCAATCCGCGGAAGAGGTCCCGCATTCTTGACGGTTCGTGCGTCGAGCTTGGAGTAGTCGATGCACAAGCGAAGAGAACTGGCGCACCGTATGGTGAGCTACTAGGGCAGATCCAACCCTTGTCCAAAAGATCGTCGAGTTGAGCGCAGAGAACAGCGAGCTCTTCCTCGCTCATGCGATAGATGCATCCTTTCGGTGGCATGACACCGGCCTCGAGAATGATCTCGTGGGAGATTGGCCGATCCGGCACCACACCGGTAGGAGACTCGAAGATGTCAGTGAACTCGTCGAGCAGCCGCACCACTCGGGGGTCCGAAGACAAGTCCATAGGTGAAGATTCAGTCGTCGTGGCTGCTCGTAGAAAACATAGGCCTATCTCGTCAAGAGGCCCGAAAAGACTTGGCCGTTACAACTTGGCATCGGATCAAGGAGTGCGGAAGAGGAATGGTACGCGGCACCTCGACGCCGAAGGCATCGCGAACGGTAAGTGTCCGCTGATGGATGTTAACCGTGTGATCCGCACTTGCAAGCCAAGGCATCCCCAAAATAATGTCGAAGTCCGTGTCTAAGACGTCAAACGTCACCGGTTCGCATGCATGAGGTGCGAAATAAACCGGCACAGCTTCAATGTAGCGATCGAGGAGTTGTTGCATCCAACCGTCCGCCAACTTGATAGCCGTCGGGTTTGGCTTCCTTCGAACTTGTGCGCCAAGGCCGACCCTTTGGATAAAGGACTGGCTGATGAAATTGCGAGTCGCACCACTATCCAGCAAAGCATTGCAAGACGCTTGCCCAACTTGGATGCGGACATAAAGGAGCAGTGCGTTGTTATCATCGCACCGCTGCATGTGAAACTCGCAGGCCACCTTGGTAACATACGCAAGGATGTCCCCCACCGCAGCTTCGTCATTCGTTGGCGAAGGTGGTGGTGCATAGAAGGCTAAGTATGCGTGGAGATGGACGGATAGTGCTGCTCATTGTGGTCCCGGCAAGCAGCATGTGGAAGGGAGAGGAAGCCATGCAAAATCCTCGGACGTCAACGGGTCCAAGACCTCTATGCTCAACTTGTGCGTCGATTCCCTTGAAGAACCACTTGAAGACGATGCATTGTTGCTGTTGCCGGATGGAGAAGAAGCCGCACACACATCTTGTCCTTGAGCTTGAGAACCCAGCGAAGAAACGAGCTGGGCAGCATAGTCCTCGTAAGAATATAAGAGAGGACTGTCGACTTTCGCATGTGCCTCAGAATGAAGAGAGGTTGCTCGCGAGGCAACCGGTTCCGAAGGCGTCGGGAGTGCAGCCGCATCACTCTCGGCGGTGCTCACTTTCCTGAAGGGAATTTGCCTTTGACTTGAGTGTGTCACGTTGCGGTGTCGTGCACCGCGCTGTTGCACCACAACCAGTATCGGTACTTAGTACGGAGGCGGTACACGCCTTCTGAGATACCGTAATGTGTCCAAGGCTCTTGAGCCGCTGGTCCGGCCCCGGGGGATGAATTGGTGTGTGTCTTCGGTTTGCCGCATCCTCGCCCTCTGGCGGGGCGGCCACCATCCCGGGCAGCTGCCAATCTGTCTCCTTCATCAGAAGAGGCAGCCTCGTTTGAAGGATCGGTCGCGGTAGTTGCTGCGACCACGGCCACTTTCGGCCGATGCTGACCTCTGCCCTGGCCCGCAGCAGATGAATGGCCCAAATTCTTGGCTTCGATGTTCATCACGATGATCTGCGAGGCTTTATCCAAACGCTGCTCACTTGTGGTGAGCGTCTCCGCAACTTGCGTCAAGGCGTTCTGCAACACCGGACAACTCCTGATGAAGAAGTGCTTGATAGCGACAAATGTCGACGACAAGTTGGGCGTGGATGCCAAGCGTCGGTACTTGGTTATCAAGTCCGTGCTTGGCAGGTCGTTCTCATAGAACCGTTGCAGTTTCTCGGCTGCCTGAAGCTCGGGCGGCTCCACTTGGAACCGCTTATGCCATGCTGCCTTCAGATCAGCCCAGCTGATCTTTGTATGCAGCTCAGAGACTGCGACGTTGTGCATGGACAACATGTTGTCCAGCCATGCCTGGCACGTGCCCCCTGAGCGGGAGTATAAGTATGCGTGCCGGTTCGGGTTGATGACGTGGTGAATGTCCAACTTCAACTCGAACTGCCGCCACCATGGGATCGGGTCTGTCTTCGTTGCATCGCAGAAGATCGGCAGTCCGTCAAACTTTGGGATGCTCTCGCGAGTAGTCGCGGTCGGACTGGCTGCGGCGGCACAAATCTGCTGGTCAATCCGCTGATTTGTCGCTAGAGCGCCGTCCTTGAGAGTCTCGACGTCGATTTCCAAGACGTTGACGCGGTCCGTCAAGTTGGAGGGTCCAGCGGGGGTGGCTGTTGTAGGCTGCTGTTCCAGCCGGCGTACCCGGTCAAGCAGTTCATCGCTAATTCGAATCTGCTTCCGGACCAGGGTGTCCACGCAGAGGATGTCCTCTTGCTGTGCTGCACAGGTGGCGACCAAGTCGCTCACATGTTCGACTGTGGTTGCAAGGCCACGCACAGCGGGGGGGGCACCCTCCTCTTCAGCAGCCACTGCCCATTCGCCGACGATCACCTCGATGTCCCCCTCGCATTCGAGGATTTTGTCTCGGCGTAGTTTACAGCGTTCGTCTGCGGCCTTCCTTGCTGCCTCAGCGTCCTCCTGTCACTGCTGTTCAGCGAGGCGACGCTGTTCCTCTACGTCCTCATCTTCCTTCTTACGTGCGGATGTTGCCGCAGCTGCCCGTTGCTTGAACTTCGCTACCATGTCCAGCATGCGGGCCTCATAGGCCTTGGTAGTCTCGCCTAGCAGCTGATCCATGCCGCTTGTCTTTGAGCGGGTGAGCACCATGCACTGACGTGACGTGCTGCTGCGGTGACTGGTTGCTGACGTGGCACTGCCGCCGTGGCACTGCTGCTGTGTCCTGCTGCCGTGTCCTGCTGCCGTGTCCTGCTGACGTGGCCTGCTGACGTGGCAACTTACCAATGTCGCCGCAGGGGGTACCTGGAGGGAGATAGAGAGAAGACCAGAGGGGACAAAAACATAGGTGGGGAGGGGTGGGATAAATCGCCCAGATAAGGAGCCACTAATCAAAAAAGAAAAGTTTGAACTTTGCCAAAAAATTCGAGAAAAAAGAAAAAAAATACTCGTTTGCGAGTTTAGTAGGCCTCCCGAGTCCCCTGAAGTGCGAAATTATCCATGAGAAAAATTTCAAACTTTCAGACCACAAATGATTTTCTGAAAAAAGAATTCCGAAAATGAAGTATTAATTTTTTTTCGGAATTACTCAAAAGAGAGTACGCGCAGTTGGAGAATGATACCTGCAAGAGGGGTTCCCCTACCGTTTAAAAAAAAAATGGATTTCGGAATAAAAATATTCCGGATTTCCAAATAACGGGAAATTGCAAAAGGAAATCGAAATTTTCGAAAAAGAAGATATTCTGGATTTTCAACAACGAAATTTTGAATTTTCAGAAGAAAAACGAAATCGGAAATTTCAGATGTTGCGCTATTGCGATTTTCCACAACAGAAATAGTGAGAAAACAAAATCGAAGAAAAGCAAAATATTTTGATTTTCGGCAGTGAGGTCAAAATCGTGATTTTGGGGGCTAACTACTGTGCTCTAATCAATTAATCAAAACTAATCAGCTACCTAGTCCCCGCACACGTGTCAGATCAGGTTGTCCTGATTCACGTGCGGTGTTCCGATACCAACTGTAACATGCCCAGTTGGGCGATGTACATAATACACCAAGGATCCACAATGTGATGAAAAGGACTGAATGGACAATGCAGTGCAACTGAAATCTCAACAAGCAGTGTACATCCTGATACATACAAAGTGTGCTTTACAGCGCAGTGGAAGACTTAGATACAAGTCCTGACCTGACCGGGACTGACCTCTTTCACGTAGTACAAGATAGCGCAGCAGAATACGAGAATACTAATGACTAGCCCAATCATACATCATTCTCATCACACGGTGTGAAGGGAGCCTGGCCCTATACAAAGGAGGAGGCGCCAGGTCCAGTTCATGCACAGACGAAGAGGAGAGGATCAGACGGAGAGGAGGAGGGGAGAGATGGGAAAGTCGTCAACACCAAGTCTTGTTACAAGTCCCAAATAATCCCCCGTCAAAATGTCTGAAGTCCAATATCGAGTCTGGATCCAAATGTCACCAAGCTCTCTCTCTCTCTCTCTCTCTCTCTCTCTCTCTCTCTCTCTCTCTCTCTCTCTCTCTCTCTCATAGTCTGCTGACGCAGTGAAGTCAGATAACGAGAGGGTGAGAGGGACATGGTGGACTGAGAAGAGGAAGAAGAAGAACTCTCTCTCTCTCATAAGCCAGGTACTAACCTGTGAAGGTGGCGCTGTGCTGCAGGTACCTTGAAGATGAAGCTGGAGCGATGGCGCTGCAGGTAAGTCCCCCTGGCCTCCGCCCAATCTCGCTCTCTATAGTACTACTCTAGCTGCTATGGCGCCCAGCGCTGAAGACAACAGCTAACGCTACTAGCGCCCAGCGCTGAAGACTACTGCAAACGCTACTACTACTCCTGCAGCGCTCCTCCAGAGTACCGCTGCCGAATCCTGAAGACTACCTCCTGCCTCCTGAACTGCACGTGAAGTGNCGAATCCTGAAGACTACCTCCTGCCTCCTGAACTGCACGTGAAGTGTCTGGGAAGTACCTAGGAACTACCTGCAGCCTGCAGGGCGGGCCAGTCCTTTATAGTGCTGGCCCGTCCAGGCGGCTGCTCTTGCCAATGACAAAACGTGACAGACCCTGGGGTTGAAGCTCAAACGAAGGTTGTCTTGAAAATAGGCCAAAAATGGCCTGAGCTAAAACCCTGGTTTGGTGCCTGAGTTTCAGGGCAGGCCGAACTCACGAGGGCCTGAAAATGGCCCTCAGTTTCAGGGTGAAAAGACTCAGGGCCGGAAAGGCCCTGATTTAGGCTGAAACGACACAGGGCCTGTAGGCCCTTGTTTTCAGGCTTTCAGGCTGAAACGACATGGGGCCTGTAGGCCCTTGTTTTCAGGCTTTTGGCCTGAAATGAAACGTTTTTCACCTTTTAGCAGTAGCGGATGAAGTACCCAGGGTTCGATCCCTAGACCTCACCCTACCCATGTACAGTATCTGTGTAGACCCCGAGAATTGAACCTGTGACCTGTGTATTCGTAGGCAGTTGGTAGACCTGTCGTAGGTCCATAGACAGCAGGGGTTCGATCTGTAGGTCTGTAGCGTAGGAGTCTTAGTGAGTTCTGGAAGCTTAGCTGTAGACCTTCTAGAAGATAGGCAAGTGGGCAAGTGGTCAAGTGGCGAGGCAAGTGGTGGACTAAAACGCAGTGCAACAGCAGTACAACGTCGGTAGGATGGCGGTGAGTCCACAGTCAGTCAGCGGAAGGTCCAGTCAGTCCCAGTCCGGTCCAGCAAGTAAGACAGGGGGACTGTGAGCACCAAGGGCCGATGGCAAAGGGCAGACCAACGAGTTTCTGAAGTATAAATCAAGAGGAGCGCCCAGCCATTCATTCATTCTGGCGTGAGCCATGCGGAAGCGCTGCCACAGCGACTTGTGCAAGGAGGTCTGCAGATGAGCCCGGAGGACGCAGTGGGCAAGAGAGGAGGAGTTAGCATAG